GTTCAGCCAGTTGAGCCCATCAGGTGCCACTTTGAAACGCGAAACCGTTCTACAAATGAAACACAATGAAACCAATGACAGGCAACATGCAGCATCACAGGACGACATTGCAGCCTCTCACCCAGACCAGGCAGCACCATGGCGTGTGGGAGCGCGAGTTCCTCTTCGACCATTCCGATGGCCGCTTTGAACTCTGCGAGGAGGAGGCCGAGTTGGAAGCTGGTGTCCTCACGATGGTTCTGAGGTGGCTCGGCATACTGTCAGGCTCCGACTTATTCGAATGAGTGGAAAGAATCGTACTTGTGGGGTCGATTGTGGAAATGATTTCTTGTCTTTGCCGAAACTGAGCCGTGGCCAACCCAGGAAAACGTTGCAGCCCCGAAAGGGGAAGCTCCAGGGCAAAGCTCGGGCACGCGCGTCCTACCAAGCATCAGGCTGGTTCTTACAGTACATCGTCGAATCTTAGGGCCAATGCCCATGTGTGTGGTTGTTGCGGTAAATAGAGTTTGTTGCACAACGTTGTTTCAGCTGCCAGTCAGAGGCTTTAAAACTTTGAAGTTTCGCATGTCTAAAACTGGACTCCAAGTTGTTTTTCATCCTGTGCTTTCACACGGCGTAGCTGACAGACAATCACTGACTTCGGCAACTTGGAGAGGTCCAGCCTCGCTTGTCCCGCCCTCTGAGTGCACGTCCTTCGATTTGGTCTCGGATGTCAAGCTGCCCGCCGGTGTGCAGGTCTGACCAAAGTAGGACTGAGGGCTTTCGTAACATTAAGATCGCTATTAGTACCGCTATTAGGGGACAACGGACAAAATTGCATTCGAAGGCATTTGCCTCCAGCTGCACTACTTCAGATGGGGACCCATACCAGTGCGGCCACCTCGTGCAGCTTGTCAACCATGCAATATAATTCGTCAGAGGCCCGAATCTGTTCAGCAGAGACCAGCATGTTTCAATGTTGTGAATGTTGTTCATTCCTACTCACATCACCATTAATTGATGTCCCACCACTTGTTGCGGGGCCTCTCAGGCATGTACCTGTCTTCTTCCCCTTGCACTCATGCAAGCGCAGAACAAATCCAGTTCCCTTTCGATTGTTTAAGCATATTTCAAGGGCAGGCGCAAGTCCAAGTGCCAAAAACCCTGGATCTAGTAGATCTGACCATCAAGCAGGAAGCTGTCCTCCCAACTGAGCCAAGTTCGCTCGGTTGTGACGTTCCCAGGCGCGTTCGAACGCTCCGCAGCTCCGCAAAAGAAACGGGCGAACAGTCGACTGAAACGGAGCGCAGATGATCTGCTGATTTTTGGACTGCAAGCTCAGTGCAGAGCTTGGTGCCAAAGTTGAGCCATGCCAAAGTTGCAATCACGCAAGAATTGCCAGAAGGCTTGTAGCAGCATTGTAGTTCCCGGACGACGACGAAGGCGCAAGACGAGCTGAGCTGAGTTGACTTCTCTCGTGTCTCTGAATCATGTCGTCAGGTCGCACCCGCCGGGAGGAGCGGAAGGGCTGGTGGTTTGCACCGGCCGCTTTCTTTGTTCAAGGTTTCATTTGGAGTGCCAAGTTAAGCCAGTTCTTTGCCAGCCGATGTGTTTCCTTGGTTGTAGAGCTGATGCGTTTTGGTATGTTTTGGTTAGGTTTTTATCACGCTGAGCGTTTCACTGACTCATGATAAATGCAAATAATGACAATGATGAAGAATTGAAGGCAAACATAGTCAAAAACTCATATTTCAACAGCTGTCGTGAGTATGGAGATATTTCTCACTCTTTCTAATACAGAGGCTTTTCACGAAAAAGGAGAACAGGCAGCGCAAAGGTTTTTGGAAGCCAGGACGGTGGCGCAGTGCTGGTGAACCGTGGCCATTTGCTTGGACACGCCGCAAGCACCAAGCCGCACACCCACAAGTACCCATGTCGGAGACCCAAGAAGTTGGAGTATGGGTTGCACATGTTGTTATGAGAATACTTGTTTCGGTGCTGGTGCATCGTCGACATCAGTGTTGTGGAAGATCTGTTCTTTGTTCATACTTTTGTGTTTATAGCCACCGGTTAATTAATATCCAGTTTCATGGGCTCTGAGCTGCAGGTGGGTTCAGGCACGCAGAGTTCTGGAGAAGGAGGAGATCCCCAACTTCGCTGGAAAGCGTGGCACTGAGATCTGCAGATGGTTGATTTCTTGCATTCATGCTTTCGGTGCCAAGTTCAGTGTTGTGCCTGCACATTCTACCAGTATCATAATGTTCTCAGGGCAATTCTAAGTCTAGGCTAGGCTACGGCTATGGGTCCTGAAGTTTGAGCCTTGCAGCATTGTGCAACATTATGACATTCTCATTTCACCTCATATACTTTCTGTAATTCGTGGCAGGATCCACTCGGTCAGCTCGAAGCTTCATGTGCTAAGTCATGTGCATTTAAAGTTGAACCAAAAGAAACTTTGCATTGCGCATCCTTACACCGCAAGACTGTCAGCTCAGCATCGTGCAATCTGGTTTGGTTTGTTTCATCCTCCTTTGATCAATGGGGGCAGTGGTGACAGACAAAGCCAGGTACGAGGTCTTCAAAACTGCGGTCGATTTGCTGCGCCAGGAAGTCAGTGGAAAAGAGAAACCAGGTGTGAAAGACTTCTTCAAAGTGCTCCTTGAACCTGTTGTCAAAGGCTACAGCGGCTCCGGGTCAGGTGACCATCCTTTTGACCACATGTTTGGATTGAACAACGGTGTAGACAAAGGAGAAAAGCACTTTCCTGGGGTGAATTTCAACGACCCCAAGCAAGTGCAAGACCTCTTGCGCAGCTTCTGGAGATGCATCTTAGACAAGGAGAACAAGCCAACCATCCATGGTGGAAAGGAAGTGCGCTATGGCAAGTTCTCCCATGGAGTGTTGAAGGGCAAGCCATTCCAAGTGAATGTCAACACGGGAGAATCCTCGCTCCGTGGGGGTTGGGAAATTACAGACAAAGAGGCCCTGAAGGAAATCAAGAGTATGAAGTTGAAGATGTACTGCCACAGGGCTGCTGATGCGTCGATTGCTGGTGGAATTGGAGGAGGGATTGGTGCCGGCTTTGGTGCCTACTGCTTCGAACAGTACTACCGCAAGATTTGCTCAGATGTTGACCATCAGATCGGCCATGCAGAAGAGGTAGGACTGCGGGTCGGAAAAGCTGTCTCCCTTCCAGCAGGAAGCCTTGTGGGTGCAAGTGTGGCAAAGTTCCTGGCAGGCTTCCAAAGTGTCTCCATGCTTGGCCCAATGAAGTTTCAGGTTTGCGCCCTACTCTCAGGGGCTGCAGTTGGCTTCGCGGTCGCTGTTGCGGTGACCGGTGCAACAACTGCCATCGGCCTTTGCGTCACTCAAATGACGCGAGAGACTGCTAAGTGCATGGAGCTAGCACAGGAGGCAAAAGAGCGACGTGAGAAGCTGCAGCAAAAGCTTCAAGACGTGACCATCATGACAACGAAGTTGAAGGCAATTGCTGGCAAGCTTGTTGCTGTGGAACAACTTGTCAATGATGCACAGAAGGCGCTCCAGCAAGGCCTTCACTCGGAGGAGGACGTCATCAAATGGATCGGAGTGGCCCAGGTGGCCAAGTTGGGGTTGGAGCAGATCCTCAAGGCCTTGGATGCAGTGGAGAAAGATGTGCTGGATCATTTCCAAGAGTTGGAACGCACTCATGCCAGGACTGTCCAGAACTTTTTTCAAGCACTTGAAAGCCAAAGGCGTGACACTGCTGAGACCAGGAGCTTCTGTGGGTCCACATGGCCGCTATTGATCTTTCCTCCTTTGTGGTTTGCTGTCAATGACATTTCGGAAATCTCCTACCAAATTCGCTCACAAAGCCGTTGGTCGCAAGTGCAGGAAAACATCCGAAGCGGCATTGAACAGGAACTTGGCATGCTGCAGCTGGCGATTCAAGGCATTTCATGCAGCGAGCATCGCGGCAAGTGCCAAGCCCTGATCAAAGAGGTGGAAGATTTGTTGGATCATGGGGCCGAAGAGCTGGAGAAGCTTCTTTCAAGACCTCAGACTCAGACGCAGGTTGGCTGCATTTCGCAGATTTGGTCCTTTGTGGGCATCATGTGGCCCTTCCCATCCGAGGATTCAAACACGAATTTTAAGGACAGCTGGCTCGTCCAGAACCTCATTCATGCCTACTAGCTTTCACTGCGCGTAGCTGCTCGCTTCCCCAACGGCCTCAACGATGCAGCTTAATTCGACGGACGCCCAGGCTTCCTCGGTGGTGCCAATTCTGGGTGGTCACTTACACTCCCCGCCGCTTATTGCATGGTCTCTCAGATATGTAGCTGCAGCCATTTTCCCCTTGCATGCATGCAAATGCGGAATCCCAGTTCCATTTCTTTAAGATTGTTTAAGTACATTTCAAGTGGGCAAGGCACAAGTCCAATTGCCAACTATCTTGGATCTAGTAGATCTGACCGCCAAGCAGCTTGGAAGCCGCCTTTCCAACTGAGGGGAATGTGCTTGTTTTCAACCAAAGCAGGGCGACCGGCAAGCGCAAACAGCTGAATCTAGACATTTTGAGTGATTTCCTTGTAATTGCTTTCTTTGCTTTGGGCTAACTGATGCTTGAGCCATGCTAGGCTTACTTATTAAATTGCACGAAACTGTATTTTCACTCCATGTAATATGTACACTTTGTACCTTGCACATAGTAGGATGTCATGTCACCTTGACTTTGCAGCTCGCGGCCCAAAACAGGAGTTGCAGCTTAACGGCTGTTTCTATAGGTTATCAGCCGTAGTGCTCTAACCACAGCCATGGACGCTCTTGCTATTCCTGGGAACGGTACATCATCGGTAGCAGTCCCAGCCGGTCTCATGACTGAGCCCACGGTGGATCTAGATGACCCCATGGGTTCAGCTCCTGTCACAGCTTACTTTCAGTTTGTGCAGCAAAACATTCAACAAGTGTACAACGGAAATGAAGACGCTATCATTGCTGAGGCAGAGAGAAGGCACAAAGAGATAATGGGACAATGGTTGGAAATGGTAAAAACCAAGTTTCGTCAAGCAATCGATGAAGTAGCGAGCAAGCATCATGAGGAACTCAGTTCGGTAAGGCAGCAAGCTCAATCTAGCTACAACCAAGTGCAAGGGGAACTTAGCGCTGCAAAAGCGCGGATCCTAAAGCTGGAGAGTGAAAGGTCCATTGAGGCTGAAGCCAGAAAAGCAGAACTGGACTCCTTGCGCATTCAGCTCATGCACGATTGTCAGCAAACTGTCACTGCCATCACCAGTGGTGCCGAGCAAGGTGTGGCAACGCTTCGTGCAGAGTTTGATGAGCGGGAAACTCAGCTTCGACGTGAGCTACGCGATGCAGAAAATGAAAACTATAGCCTGCAGCAAATGCTCGATGACCTTAAAGCCAAAATGCATGCTGGACCCGAGCTAGAGTACCATCCAACAAGTGTCATGAACACACCAGTGTCTACCCCTAGGCACGATGACACAAAGAGGAAAAATCCTCTGGAGACCATTGCAGCAGAGGCTACTGCACGTTTGAGTGGACTGTTCGCACCCAAAGTGCCGACGGCCACCATCATCGGTGATGCCCCACCAGGGGCAGCTGCTCCTATCAAGCCCGTGCTTCCAGTCTACGGAGGCACAGCAGCGGATGGGGGCAAAACACCAACAAATATGTTCCATAGCCCTGCACCCTCAATTCGCGAACCCCATAAGCCAGCGTCATCAGGTGCCATCACCTCTGAGCAGGTGATCGAATTGGTCAAGTCACTCACTCAAAGAGAGTCAGATGAGAAGCCAAAGGTAAAGGAGGCAGATCACATCAAGTTGAATGACATGCCAACCCCTGAAACCTATCGGCAGTGGAAACATCATGTGAGGGACGAAATCAAGTCATGTTCTGACAAACCAGATGCCGCCTGGGACTGGTTAATGGAGGTTTACAACACTGTTGATGAGAGAAAAGTTCTGGAAGAGCGGTTGTCTAACCCTGGGAAGTTCACAACGTTGGATACCAAGTTGGCAGCTGCGCTGACCAGAAGTGCAAAGGGTGATCTAGCAAACCGAATCATCAATTACAAAGAAGAGAAGGCAAAGCTAGGCATCCAGGTTCGAGGAAGGATGATTCTTCTCATGTTCGATGACTATTTCAAGACCTCGGAAGAAGCGGGTAGCCTCTATAGGGTTGAGGATCTTCTCAATGTGGTAAAGGTAGGCGACACGGTAGCGGACTTGAAGCGTTTCATCAATCGCTGGGACGCTACCATCGCTGGTATGCCCGAACCACCGCATGAAAACGTGCTCCGAGACATCCTTTTAAGGCAGATCCGCACTAGCACAATCCTGAGGTACGACATTGATCTCTTCGATCGTGCAAAAGAAGGTGACCACCATCGGTCTTACAAGTTCCTACTGCAAAGCATCAAGGATCTGATCGATCGGGAACGCCTTCGTGAGAATCGATCACGTATCGCGGAGCGAAATCGGCTCAAGCCAGGTGATCGACACGAGAAGAACGCAGCCCCTACTGTTGATCCTCGGCGAAAGCGTTCGCCATCGCGCGGACGATCCGCTTCACGGGAGAAGGGTATTTGTTGGGCCTTTTTGGAGGGAAAGTGTGCAAAAGGGAAAGATTGCAAGTTCAAGCATGAAAAGCCCAAGCGTGATCCTTCCAAGAAGCGCCAACCATCCCGGGAGCGGAATGAGTCGAGGGACAAAAGCACAGATAAGGAGAAGAAGCGGATGACTAAGGAAGAGATGGCGAAGACCCCATGCAGGTACGATCAACAAGGTACATGCAGAAGAGGAGACAAGTGCTTTTTCAAACATGGAGAAAAGGCAGCACCGGCTCCGAAAACGAAGCCTAGAAAGGACTCCCCAAAGCCAAAGGCAAAAGGAGATACCAAGAAGGCTGCCATTTGCCTGAGCAATCGGTTTGCATGTCTTGCGACTGGTGTGCCCGGACGGTCATGTCTCAGGAAGTCCTGTCTTCCTCCAGCAAGAAAGAGGTCTAAGTCGTCTGTCCGAAGAACTACATTCGTTATGAAACCTGAAATTCGCACAATCCCTGCTCGCGGGGAACACTGCAAGATGGTCAAGCGTGAGCGCAAGTACAGTGCGCATTTTGCCACGAGCGATCGCGTGCCCAAGAGCGACCCAAAGGCAGCCCACATGGCCAAAGTAAAAGCTAGGCAGTTGGCTGAAGTTGTCCGAAGCTTTGATAGCGCAACAGTGCCCTCATGTCGTTTCATGTGCACCGAATCGTCGCTTACTTGTCGTGAGTGTCGAAGCTTGATCAAGTTGAAAACGTGTCCTACTACCATCCCAACTGTAGTTGCTGGTCCAGCACCAAGGGAAGGCAGGTTCTCATGGCTCGTCGATTCTGGGAGTGAGCAAGACCTCCTCAGCAGAAAAGTCATGGATGCTGCTGGTGCGGAGAACCCAAGACGGGCTCCTCACACCATCAGTCTGATTACTGCAAATGGGTCGACCGAAGCCAGCGAGGTAGCTGATGTCAAGATGAAGCAGCTACTTGAGCCTTGCACGCCGTATTTGCTGGATGAATGCCCTGCTGTGCTCTCAGTTGGCATCAAATGCCTTGACCAAGGGTATAGTTTCGTGTGGCCAGCAAACGGTACACCAATCCTTGTGCGACCAGATGAGAAAATCGTTCAACTTCGCGTTGACGGTCATGTCCCAGTCCTCGACTCCGAGTGCAAAGTCTTCGGGAAGGGCAAGTTCAAGAAGGACAAGCCTCTGAAGAAGCTGTTTGCAATGCCGGGAGCAATCTCGAGCCCGTCGGATAAGAAAGAGGATGAGGGCATCGACGAGGAAGTGCCAGACGACGAAGAGAGCCGTTTGGTGCGATCAAGAAAAGTCGGAGACTTGATGCGTGAAGCACAGTCCGCAAAACACCAGTATCACCACTTCCCCAAGAACCCATTCTGCAAAGTGTGCCAGCGAGCAAGGATGCTTGCACCACAGGCACGAAAGAAAGGGGGTGAGAGCCGCATTCAGACTAAGGCCTTCGGTGATCATCTGATCGCTGACCACGTCGTCGTGCGCGCGAACATCGAAGAAGGGAGTCGTGGTGAACGGGTAGCTTTGGTTGTGAAAGACCTGCATACAAAGTCCCGGAGTATTTACCCATCCCAGTCAAAGAGTTCGGATGAGGTAGTGATTGCTCTTCAGCATTTTGTTGCCCCGGATGATGCAGTCGAGGTCATTTACACCGACAATTCCCGTGAGCTGATAGCTGGCATCAAGGAGTTAGGGTATCGCCACCAAACCTCCGTTGAGTACGTGGACTCCTCCAAGAGCTTCATTGAAAGGGAAGTTAGGAACATGCTTGAGGGAGCACGCACCAATCTTGTTCAGTCCGGAATGCCCCTCCAGTACTGGCCACTCGCCATTCAACATTTTGCAATGGCAACAAATACGAGTGATCAGCTGGACTCATCTCCAAGCCCATGGGAACTGCGTTTTGGAGAAATGTTCGAAGGCATGGCCATTCCGTTTGGTGCAAAAGTCCTATTCTGGAACAACCCCAATCGAGCCGACAATACAGCAGGAAAGCTGTCGCCCACTTCGGTGGAAGGTGTGTTTCTTGGTTATCATGTACAGCCAGGACACAAGTGGCGTGGGGAGTACCTAGTTGCTAAGTTGGAAGCACTAGACTACCATGTTGAACACAACAGTTTGACGATCCAGAGGACAAAGAAAATTGAGCTCCTTCCAGGCGGTTTTAGTTTTCCATTGCGTGTCAAACAAGATCGTAAGGAAGCTATCCCTGATGACCCAAAGCTCAACCTTATCGAGTCTCCCAATCCGATTCCACTTGCGGATGCTGACCTTGCAGAGTACACTCCATCCGAAGCCCCAGAAGGTGTACTTGAACAAGGGGGTGTGGAACCCGAAATTGAAGTCACGGCAGCTGACAAAGCCGAGGACTACAAGCCCGACACTACGCCGGCCGGGGTCCCTATTCCTGAAGGTTACCATTGGGATGGTCTTCGAGTGGTGAAGACGTACAAAGGCAGCAAACGCCCCAAGGACATTCCATCGGATTATTGGAAAACGCTCGGCCCAAAAGATCGAGCAAAGTTGCTGAAAGAAATGGACGAAGCAAAGTCATCCTCCAGCAAAGGTTCAAAAAGACCACAAGTCCAGCGACTTCTTCTCAGCTCGGTTCATGCCGAAGCCCTTGTGTTACGGACACAAGTACCAGCTGGGAAGCCGTGCCCACACCACAGATGAGGTTTGGAGCACCTGCAATGCCGCGGAAAGCGCTTGATCAACCTGAGCCGCATCGGCTTCCGATTCGGGAGCTTATCGCACAGCGCATCAAGCAAATCGAATTCCAAGTCGCATTCGAGCTTTTCTGTGCTGTTGCCAGACTCGTACCTCGCGATGAGGTTTCTCGAACTCCGAAGGCCAAAGCAGCGTTGGACGCTGAGTGGGAGCGACTAAGAGCCAAGGGAACATGGGATGAAGCCCGTGTTCAGGAGTGCCGAAAGGTCGTTAGTGAGGCGCACCGC